CATCAGGAAATGTCTGCTTCAACTCATCTAGCCCTTCTTTGGGACCAGAACTGGAAAATACTTTTTGCCCTTCTTATAGGTGGGAGAAAAATCTAGAAATTAAAGATGCAGATATGAGCAAAGTAAAAGTAATGTTACTTAAGTTCTGAGACATTCTTGGGTGCTTTCTTTGCTTTCTTTGTAAATACTAGTGACTGCTTCTGTGTTTTTAAGTATTAAAAAGGCAATTAGGAGATTGCTTGTAAAATGCAGTGTTTCTGACTGATCTGTGCTATTCAAGTTATCATATATAAAACTCCTAATATTTGAGCTTGATACTTTCTCCACCTACCCTTCCTCTCTTTGTTTTATTGAACAGGAAGTGCTTATTCACTTCCTGAGAATGTACTGTTGATAGAAAACTTTCCTTTTAAAGATCAAAAACTTCTCTTTTTAGCCAATGGAGAGTACTACTTAATTACATTTGGCAACAGTTTGCATTTCTCTCTTATGTTAATGAAAGTGACAGGTTGTTTCTTGAGCACTAGATTTCCTAAGAGGAGACACTTGAGTTCTCCCAAAGTACCCAGTAACTTTTCCTACAGTATTTTGCAACATTGACAGTATTTTTTCTGGAGCTGCATTAATGATGGTAAGAAATATATATTTAACAATTCAAATTCTCATTGAGATAAACTTTTTTTGGTGAGACTTTTGTAAAGAAAGACTGAATGTATCTCTTCTATTGGTTAAGTCGTAGAGAAGATAGAAACAACCACGTCAGAATACTACATACTGAAAGCTGTGAGTGTCAGATGTCACACTGTCAAGAAAACTTCCAACAGCATTAATTCCGACAAATTTGCTATATCAAAAACATTCTCACAAATTGTAGTATTATGTGGCCCCAGGAACAAGTTCGTAACCGAAATAACTTCTTTAGCCTCATATTAAAAATTCTGCTATTTCTGTAAAACTTTTTGAAATTGCTGTAAATCTTCAGTCTTCTTCTGTCCATTAGGCAGTTGTTTTATTCTTATTTTGAAAGGGGGATTTGAAGTTAAGATTGGAAATAATTGTCCTTTACTGTGTTGCTGTTGTTGTGCAGCAGCTTTCTGAAAATGTGTGATTGCCAACTACTACATTCCCCTTTTCAGGGGATCAGGTTTAATTTATTTAAGGGGAAACAGTGTAGATAACTGAGGGCTTTTTTTTTTTTCCCCCTAGAAGTTACATGTCTATGTATAATTTTTTTCATCGATCACAGCAATTAGTACTGCCTCGCTACTGTAAAATGTTCAGTACTGACTAGAAAACAACTTCTCAAATTGTTATTTTTTTTCCAAATATATTAAAAATTCAATAGACTTGACTCATTTGCAAATGCTTGATAAAACTCCATGAGATAGGCCTTTATCCTTCCAAATAAGGCTTATTTTAGCTTGTGTTGTTCTTCTTAAAGGACTTCTTGATATTCCTGTGGCATGGGCTAATTTTACTGGAAATACCTTACCATTCTCACCTCATTCATCCCACTTTGTTGGTCCTCAGGCTCTTACTAAGTTGTTATAGAGCAACACTTTAGACAGCTTTGTCCTGGTTCAGCTGCAGTGAAAAGCTGGTGCTATTTGGTAATTAATTTCAAATTTAATAGCACCTGTTTTTATCCAATACTAAACTTAATGTCAGAGCTGCATCGTCTTTTAATGAAACTACATAAGGTTGCCAAGTGTAATTATAGCTGACATTTCTGTGAAATGTAGGCAGCTTAGAATTTTAAAATGACCAAACCAAACAGAAAAAATAATTGCAAGAAAAGGGGGATTTGTTACATGGTTTTGTTTAAACTCCCTCTTCTGTGTCTCCTAGCTTTTTAGTTGGTGAAGGAGCTTACAGATGGGCAGTTGATCACGGGATACCAGCATGTCCTCCAGGTATCATGGCTACAAGTGAGTAAACTGGTGGTGTCAGTAGGAAGAACAGGACAGAGGAATTTTAAATTGTGCCTCATATTTTGAGGTGTACATCACTTCACTGTTCTTAACATTCAACTAGCTTATGGTATTATGATATGTAAGGATGGTTTAAGTTTACTAATTTTCTATTAAGTATCTAAATAGAAAAAAAATATGTACTATGACTTTAGCTGCATTTTAGCATCATCTAATTCAAGTGAATTTGTGATTCTAAGATTAAATCCAATTAAGGACTTTGTTTACTGAAACATAGACTCTAACAGCTCAGTCCCGCAAGTCTGCAGTTGTGATCCATCCTGAAGCCTCAAAACACCAACTAGCCACATATCTAAATTCAGTAGGTGCCACTTTGTCTCTCAGATCTGAGTTACACCCATCTCTGAGTCTTTGTCCAGAACTGATCTGGTGTAAACAGGCTGTCAAATTCGTTTGGCCTTTTTTTTTTTTTTTTTTTAACCTAGGTAGGCTTTGCTTCATCTGATACGATGGAATAACCCAATACAGAAAATGGACTTGGATTATACTGTATGCTAGCAGTAGTCAGGTCTCTTACAGTAACTTTTTTTCTTAAAATAAAATAAGCTATTATGTTATATTGATGCACCATCTATAAACTAGGCCAAAAATTAGTGCACTTAACCATGGAAAGGAGGATGTGGTTCACCTTCCTTCTCTTCTTCAGTCCCCCTCCCTTTTTGGAAGGTGCCTTTACTACTGGTCTGTAGTTTGCTGTAGATGAAAGCATGCCCTATGATTCCTGTTGAAGGTATGCAGGAGAGAAATCAGAGGTCATTACCTAAAGAATAAAGAGAACACAGAAGATTACAGAATGTTTCTGTATTTTACAGTAAACAATATTACTGCATAAAATACATGAATAGTCCCTAAGTCAGGTGTTGAAACCCAGGGCTCCCGTTAAGGCTTTTATTGGGTCTAGTTCTAAATGTAAATAAATATCCAGTAATTGCAGTTCAAATTTGCTAAATGTGTAAATGTAATCACTGAAACAGTGGCACCATTTTGCTTGATCATACCAGTTTTCATATGTATTCATGATACATTTCATTTCGAACAGAAAGTTTTGATTTCTCATTCCACATGACTGAAACTTTTGCCCTATCCATTGCTGTCCAAAACAGTATTTGCAGAACAACTTTTGGGCTCAGTTAAGCAGAACACCTTTATTGCTGTGACCTTAGAAAGAGTAAAGACATTTAAAGGTTTGAGGGGTGGTTTGTGGTTTTTTGTTTGTTTGTTTGGTTGGTTTTTTTTAAATAAAGTTGTTGCTATGTAGTTATGTGTAGGAGATACTCCAGAGGGAAGGTTTCTTCACTAATTCTGATTGCATGCACAAGTTTCCATTGTTTGTAGTACCAGTGAGTTTCTGTTGTGACAGAGATTATTAGATTGTCATATTAGTTGCCAGATGATATTTTGCTAGCTAAAATGTACCCTGGTCAGAGCAAATCTATGCATTATGGCTTAAAAAGATGACTGCTGCTAGTTTGGTTTACCTAACCCAGACTATGAATTTACATTGGAGAAACATCAAAATAATTATCCCGGCCAATATATTTTCACAAACCTGCTCCAACACACCAGTGATTTATTTTTGTCTTCTCAGTATATTCAGCATACTTCTGTTTAGCAGAACAGTTTGTGTTAATTAAACTAAATAGGAATGGGAAGTTAATCCTATTGCAAAGTCAATGCAGAATTGCTGTTTGCTGTCAATGAAAAAAATATTGGTGTTAAAGTTGCTAACCTCCCTCTGCTCCCCACACCATGCACTTTCACCCTGGTTTATACATACTGAAAAACACACATATATGATTACATGCTTGAGCTGTTGCACAGGAAGAACCTGCTCTAGGAATGAACTGATGCTGCGAAGGAGGCTATGACTGTTAAGACCTGAGTGTAGACTCTCTGAATGTTTTATTGAAAGAATGATTTTGGATTAGGTTAATTGAAGGATATGCTGAAAAAAATCAGTTGCAGAGACTTAGATTCAATCAGATATTCTTTGCAATACTGAGCAAATTATTTAAAACTGGATTCTTCGCAGATGTTCTCTAATTCTGTTTCTTGACCTTAGCATAATAATTGATAGTCTATGTCTAACTGGATTTACAGAAAGGAGGTATTTGACTGTGATAGTCTTGTGCTTCAATTTCCTTTTCAAAAAAAGATGAGATGGCAGTGTCTGCTATTTAAGTACCTAAAATGGATACATAGGAAAACAATACTAGCTTACATTAAGACTGCATTATTAGCCATTCTAAGAGGCATCTGGGAGAAGATTGCTTGAGCAACTTAGAAGTTGTCATTTTTCCTAAGATTTGAGTACACTTAATTTTACAGTATAATCATTAATGTTATTCTATCTGATTTTTTTTCTTTGAAAAAACAACAACACAACAGCAAGAAAACAAAAACTGGAAAAATCAGTTCCAGAAAATGTTGTCCTGATTTCCATACCAGTCCTTAGCAAAGCTAGGCTTGTAAAGTTTAGCCTTCTGGTCAGTGAGGCTGGAAAGTAACCATTAACACTCTGTGTGACAACATGGGATTGTTACAGCTGAAAAGAAATCAGAAACTGTCTCACAGGTAACATGTAAGAAAGCCAAAATAGGTTTTTCCAGTTTTACTAGGGGAGGGAAAGTTAGATGTGCTTAAGAAGCAGTTAAAGAGACAGTTGTTTCAAAGCAACCACAGAAGATCTAATCTGAAGTGGGCTATTGCATTAAATAATGCAACAGACTTTAAAAAAAGGGAAGGCTTTTCGATTATACTTGATACAATTGCTGTGGTAGAGTTTGCATAGAGAATTTGGGGTAAATTAACTTTAGTTGTATGACTGTTGAATAGCTCTGTAAAATGAAGAACTGAAGTAATTGCCAAATGTCAGGAAAATATGTTTAGTAACATAACTAAACATTTTGTTTCATTACAAAAGGCCAAACTCAACCTCCCAAGGCCCCCTAATCCAAATCTTAAACATGTACTTGCAACAAGTATTAGCAGGGAGAACTGGGTGCATGTGTTTTGGCTTCTCTGTGCTGCACATGGAAAATACATTATTGAAGTCTCATTATTCTGTCTTCCTTTTCCTGGACCTGAGATGGCAAGAGTAATGTTATATGTGCTATAAGGCTGTGGGATTGTGTGGTTGGTTTTGCATGGATGGAGCTCTTCATATGATCAGTTACAAAGAAAGCTGCATGATCAGCTTTGTGGTCACACTCCATAATTCTCTCAGAACTATCAAAGTATCTAAGCACCAAACTGAAATGATATTTTAAACTATGTTACTTGTTGAACTGCATCAAGGTTATGTCAAGGCTCACCTGCTTTGTCTTCCTCGGTTTGCCAAAGTGTGCAAGGAAATGGGATTTCTACTGTTTGTAGAAATCTGGTGGCTTTCCAGTGTATTGAGTGGGTGTTTTTTTAAAAAAAAACAACTACTGAAATGTGATGTTGCCTGTATTGCCTACAGTCTGCAAGAAAGCTGAATTTATTAATTCCTGACAATACTAGAGCCCATACTAGTTTATGCTATAGTTTTGTTACCCTGTGCTAGAGAGACTGCTCTGAAAGTATGGTCAAAGTTTTAAGAGTGTAATTACAGTTTAGAAATGCTAATTTACTGTATCATGCAACCTTTTATGTATGTTAAAGGTAGACTTTAAATAGGCAAAATAAATAATAAAATATAAATAGAATAAATTTATAATAAATAAATTTGAGGTACAACTTCAACTGTAAGTATATGTGCTTGCACTAGTAACAACCGAACCACTTTTATCTGAATTTTTTGGTTCAGCCTATAGTAGATGCAAAGTAGTTGATTTGGCAAAGATAATGTGGTGTGTGACAGCATCTCACAATTGATTAAAATGTTAAGTCTTTTTTTAAGGTAACTGCTTGTGCATCAAGCTTGTACCTCTAATTCTAACAGTATGGAAGTGATGATAAGTACCTCAGTACATTATTTTACATAAGAGGAAAAGCAGCTGCAGTGCATCCACATAGCTTGATAACTGGAATCCAAGAGTAGCCACAAATTATGCTGAAGGAAGACTATCAGAACAGTGCAAATATGTACTTCCCTTTTCCTGCCCCATTTGCTATTCCAAGCTCTACATTCCTGAGTCGTGACTGGTTCCTGCATAGATGGAGGTAATCAGTGGCATTTTCTGCCATGAAATTGTTTCCTCTTGAGCCCATATTAATTTCTAGCATCTGGAAAAACCTTTACTGCTTAACTATGGGTTTTATGAAGAGCTAGCTTTTTTTTATTATTTTGAGGCTTGCTGAATAAAATCTGATGGTTTATTGTCAGGTCACTACTTGGAATCCTTCTTCAGTCAAGTCTTATTATTACCCTGAATAACTTAGTATTGTCAGTAAAATCACATCTTGTTGAACAGAGTAAGTGCTACTAGGGGTTGGTTTGACATTCGATTTGTAACAGGCCATTTATTTAGTTGTGCTTTGTTTTACATTTTTTAACCCATTTTGTGTATGCAAGGAAATTTCCTTTAGTCTTATGGCTCCTTGGATTCTTTAATGAGGGAGAGCCTTTTCTAGATAAGTGTCATGCAGATTGTCATACTTTTGGTGACACCATGTGTCTTGCTGTCCACCAGTATTGCCTACCCAGCCTGCTTCTCCTCCAAACCTCAGCCCACTCCCAGTTCTCCCCCTCACTTCACTATTATTGTGTTAAGAAAAACATTTGACATATTGCTGGAACTGTGCTATGAGGTTCAGTCAGTGGCTCAGGGCAGTGACTCAGACCATGTTTTGTTCCTTTGTTTTCAGAGTGAGGATGAAAGAGATCTATAGAGAAACTCAAGGGTTTTGGGGATTTAATTAGGAAGCTTGGTTAATCGGAAGACATATCTGGTTTCCTAAAACTTAAGAGGTATCTCTCAGACAGAAGATGCTTTTCTTTTAAAAGTTGCTAC